ATGCAGAATCGTTCACAAGAGCCTACAGTTATGAGAGCTGAAGATGAGAATAAGTATAGAAGGCAATTGAAAAGGTGGAATACATTCGAGGAGAAGGCAGAGAAAAAGGTGGGTGCAGCAATAGCCTGAGACTTTGCAGCGCAGCTGCAGTTTAGAATAGACAGCACTGGCTTTCATAAACTAGGGGTCCGACAGAGTATAAGGGAGCTGCCTGGGGTCACATGAAATTAGGCCGCAGCTTGTGGGAAATCAGTCAGAGGGGAGGCGGGGCTTCTGTGCAATGACCTAGTTGAATTCTCAGGGCTCTCTGAGTTTCACTAGCTTCTGGAGCGTTTTAGTGGACTTTTTTGACCTTTCCGGACACACCGGATGGGTCAGGAGTCTCTCCAGTACCTCGGGTGTAGGAAACTGGTGGAAGAAGACTTTCATCTGAGCCCCCCCCACCTGTGGCAACAGCGGGAGATGGAATCAGATCGTCTTGAAGCAGAAGCTCCAAAAGACCAGCCGTGTTAGCACAACTGGCAAGTTGTAACAACCCCATACAAGGGCTTCCATACCTCGTCACTAAAATCCTTGGCGAAGACTTAGTGAGTACTTCTGGATTTTTTACAAACTTCAAACTTGGAAAAGAACATTTGACTGCCCCCATAAATCTTCCCCAGAGGCAAAGGGAGCTGGAGACTCCCGCACTTGTGGCTTGGCAGAGTTTGGGGGAGTTCTTTACTTTTAAAATAGAGGGGCTAAACTTTGCACTGCCATAGAGGGGCTAAACTCTGCCCAGCTGGGAAATGACTTCTACAGAGACTTATCTTACTTTTAAAGTGGCTGATTTGATTTATTGAAAGGAGGACTGACTTGTGGATATAAATTTTCTACCTGCGTAGTTCACTGATTTGTGAAGGCTGCCTGTTGAGGAGTGCGATGGCCTTTTCAAATGCGATGGAAAAGAAGGAAAATGCCTTTGGAAACATATTACAGCTGTCAGATGATGATTGGGATGACTATTGGGATCTCTTTAAGTTACAATTAGAGAGAAAGATCACCAACGCTGTCTGCCAAGCGTTGGAAGAAGTCTTTGAAAGAGAGGAGATCATGTTTCTTGAAGCGCAAGACAATCAAGCACAGATGACATCATATATTTTACAAAGGGAGGAGTGGCCAGAACTGTTTCAACACTTGACACTCAGAATGAGAGATTTATTCAGCTGTAAGGGACCGCCTCTCCCCGTACATTCCCCCAAGAGCCCTGCGATCGGGGAATCTCCATCGCCTGGAGGTTCCAGGCCCCCGGGAAGTGAAGTTGACCCAAACCAGGGCTAAGGCGTTCTTGGTGGCGGCTCCCACCTGGTGGAATGAGCTTCCGGAGGAGATCCGGGCCCTGCGGGACCTTGTGCAGTTCCGCAGGGCCTACAAGACGGAGCTCTTCTGCCAGGCCTTTGAGGGGGAGCCGCCGCTGCTACTATTCCACCAATGATATTCTAACCACATAGTGGGGATAGATGTCACCCAATAGAGCTGGGGAAACATTCTTCCTGGCGCTCCCGCTGTGAAGAACTTGGCCGCCAGTGTGGGATGTCGCCCATCTTGGATTTTATGTAAATTATCAAAGCACCAAATTTCATGTCAAGATATAGTGTTTTTATTATGCTGTTGTTTGTATGCATATTTTAACTTCGGCATGGCCGGTTGTTAGCCGCCCCGAGCTGTATATTGGATGGGGCGGGATACAAATCCCAAAAATAAATAAATAAATAAATAAACTTTGGAGATTATTCAGTGACTTTGACATTGGCTGGATACAAGACAGCCCTGGCTGAGTTGGTGAGACAGGACTTCATGTGCTATTTCATAAGCAAGACTGAAGAGGATGAGACCTTCAAAGATCGGAGGCATATAGTACTAACGATTTTGGGGAGACATTTGCAGAGAAAACAAAAGAAACCTATATTTTATAAGTATTTGTAACAATATATCTTGACTGTTTGCATGTTTTAACTGGTCAACGAGATAAAGATTTATCTATAGTGGAACTCTAACTGCTAAGAGTTTATATGCTATAGTGGAACTCTAACTGCTAAGATGTTTATATGCTATTTTTCCCCTCTCCTTTTTCTTCTCTTTCTCTTGAACTTATATATAATATATCTTGACTGTTTGCATGGCTTAACTGGTCAATGAGATAAATATTTACCTAAAGTGGGACTCTAACTGCTAAGAAATACTTGTCTATATACTATTTCTTTTTTCTTTCTTTTCTTTGAACTTATATTGACATTTGAAAAATGATTGACTAAGAATATAATCTGTAGCTATAAATATTGACTATTTTTACTGTTCCAATTGATTAGTGAAAGTTATAAGTAATGGTTGGTCTATTTGAAACAACAGGTTTGGGATATTTGTAATGCTCTAACTGAAAGTTGAGAAAAAAATTATAGGGTACTTTGATTTTTAGAGTGGGCTTTGCAGAAAAATAATAATAGTAATGGGCTGATTACCTAGAGAAGATGTAATGATTGATTGTTGTGAGAGAAATGATGGATTTACACAGAGTAAGGTGAAATCATATTGGCACTGTAAAGCTAAGAAAAACATAAAATACCATGCTTAAGTTTGCAAGTATATGAGATTTTGAAAGCTAATAGTGCTAAAAATGTGAAGAAATATCTTAAAGGGACCGAAATATGTGCCCAAATTAGAATTGTTAAACTGTTGAACCACCTGCTTCTTTCCCTTCCTATTTTTATGATTATAAAACTGATTAATAATAGTGTAGTACAGATAAAGTGAAATATAGCAGATAGGGTATAGAAAAATGAATTCTATATTGGGAATAGAATTTTGATTAATGATATTTGTTGTGGAATATAAAGTTAAACAAGGGGAAAAAGGGATCTATGTATCTAAAGATGTTGTGAGTGAGACAATGTCTTGATATTTTACAAATGCATTTTGTGTAACTTTTTAAAAAACTAATAAACCTTGCCCATTTGGGCAAGTAGGGGAAGAGAAAAAAAAGGAAATTGGTCAGAGTAAAAATCCAGTTGGGAAGTGCACTGAAAGTGGATTGTAAGTGGATTATTTAGTAAGCGTGACCGGAGTCTCCCCTTTCATGGCTCAGTCCCTGGATACCCTTTGCTTAAAGTAGCCCTCCAGGAGGAGCAGAACCTAATTGAATCACGTTCTCAAACACTGAAGTAATGACACACAGAAAGACTCACATGCACCGATCAGCCCTTTGCGACATGCAGAGGCAAGTCAGTTTACCTATGGAGACGTGAGCCGCTCCTGCAAGGCATTTGGTCTCCCTGCCAGTGCAATTCATTTTCTTAATTTTCTTCATTTGCTGGCATTCCATTGAATTAAAGGCCACACAGGATGGACATTGCTTCCCATTGCGGGGACGTTTCTTACGCACAGGCACTGCAACAATTAACCCAATTAGCTCATGGTTCCATCCCACTCTTATTACTGCTTTTAAGAAACTTTATTCATGCATGAATTTGAAAACAACAACAACAAAAAAGAACGGAAGCAACCAAAACAGAGGGTTAGACGGAACCAGGACAATTGCAATATTCCAGAGCTCTGTATTAGTACAAGACATTGATTAGGAACAGGGCAATCCAGATCAAGATTCCCGCTTGACCATGTAAGATCAAGTTCAGGCGTCCCCAGTGGGGTGCCCATGGGGAGCCATGACAGCAGCCAATACCTTTCTTTATGCTCACCAAGTGCTTTTTTTAAAAGTAGGTGGGGCCTAGGGTTGCCTGGTCAGAGGCTTTCACCAGCAGGGGGTGGGAGGGAGCTTTCTGGGAGTGGGGGGCAGGGCAACAACACTGCATGCAACATCTGTGATGGGATGACATCACTTCATGGGGGGCGTCATGCTGGGTCATGTTTGTTGGGGGTGGGCAGGAGCCCGTGAAACCGGGGGATCCCCCACTCCCACCTAGAGTCTGGCGGCCCTCATGGGGCCAGACGGAGCTGTTAACCAGCAGGGCTTCGGATATGGCACTGAAGATCTGATTGGCTATGCTGATTAGAATCACATTGTTTCAACTGCGGCTGCCACCACCGTGTTTGTCTTCTTCTCTCTCCCCCTCCCTCTCTCCGTGTATTTTTATTTCCCTCTCTTCCCCTTGGCACTTGGGCTGCCTCCTGTGAGTGTGGCTCTGCTTCCTGCGGCAGCCATTTTTTGGGTTACCCCCCACGACCCTGTATAAAAATGCCCAAGGTGCTCACAGACTCAAGAATTTTGGGGACACCTCTTCTAGTAGCTCACTCTCTCCGCCCAGACTCCCTGATAGGGTTGTTGGGAGATTAACTGGAGGAAAGAAGAATCATGTTTGCTGCCCTGAACTATGTTCTTCTGTGTCATTTCCAGAGGTCGATTCGGGGGGATCGTGGGGGATCGCAGTTCCCCTGGGTGAGGTGCAGGGGACGGGGCACACAATGAAGCCCCACCCCCTGCTTCTGGCCGCCCCGCTTCCGGCCCTCATTCAGCCAGGAGGAGGCAGGAGAAGAGGGAGGGTAAGTCGCTTCCTCCCTGCCTCTCCCCTCCCCTGCCTGCCTGGGGCCAGGGAGGGCCTTGGCGGGGCTTCCTCGCACTCCCGCCGGCCTTGCAGGTCCACCGCCGGGCCCCTGATGTCAGGGGGGGTGGCGTATGCTAATGAGTTATGCTAATGAGTTCCCCTAGCTCTTTTTCTACGAAACGACGCCTGGTCATTTCAAAATGAAAAGAGGCATTTTTGTTTCAGGATTAGAGATTGTAAGTACGTTGGGTTTGGCCTAGCCAGTATCGAGAGTGGAGACGTTTCCTATCCTGTCACAACAGCGTCCCCAAGCTCAGGCTTTCGTTTCCCACATAATAGTGAATGGCAAACATTCCATATAAAGGAGAGGCACTTACATGAAGCAGTCATGTTGTTGCACATATCAGTGTAGCAGCACTGGACTTTCGAACGAATGTACCCACCACCTAATGTCGAAATGCTGCCGTAGTTGTTCAAGCAGAAACTAGCTGGAGAACATTGCATGAAAGTCACGTGGTACTTCGGCATCAGTGAGCTACCTGGGAAAGGGAATTGCAGATATCCTTTCCAATGTTCCCTCTTAAGCTGTGGAGTCTTGTGAGCAAAAATCCTACTTTGTGAGCTATGGGCATTAAAGTTGTGAGCGAGCCATTAGGTTGCCGCATAAATTAGTTTGCTTTGAGGCCATCCTTCCTGAGCTAAGGCAAAAATCTGTTAGCCGGAGGCTAAAAAAATGTGAGCTAGCTCACACCAGCTCAGCTTAGAGGGAACACTGATCCTTTCTGTTAGATCAGGAACAATTCAAGGAAATTGTTTCTCTTAATTCAACTTTTGAAGGCAGGATTTTGGGATAAAAACGTTTCAGGCGTTGCTTAGTGTTGCTGCTTTTAGAAAAAGAATCATGAACACAGTCAGTGCTGTGTTGTCACTCTCAGTTTGAGAACCAGTTCCCTACCAGGAGATATCACCTGTTTGAAATTCCCCACTGTCTCTGATGTTCCCCAAAAGGCCAAACGAGAAGTGTGAGAAGCTGCTAGGTAAAGAGGCCTTTTACCCTGAAACTAGCTGGTAAGAGTAACTAGACCAAGCTAGCTAGTAAGAGTAACACCTGAGAAGAGTGTAGTGTCCTTAATGGTAGGCATCAGAATAAGGAGGCAGCATTGTTTCGAACAGAAGTATATTTAAATAAGTCGGTTTCCCCCCTATGTGTGAAACTGCAGGGAGAGAGACTTCATTGTTTCCTGTATCTGCATTATTAAGTCCTGGAGTGGACTGGAGCAGTCTCAAACACTGCCCAGGAGTAAAGGAACAGAGATGTCAAGTTGTCAAAAAACCCCAAAACCCTCCCCCATTGTTGTGTCCACTGACCGCCACCAGAGGCCAGCGCACACTCCTGAGCTTGAGTCCGGCACAACAATAGGGACTAGGATCCTAGTCCCTCCACTGGGGGAACCAATGGGACCGTGGCGGGTTATCCAACCCCGCCAATGGTACCCAGGGGTGTGTCCCCTGGTTGTGTATATAGTTGGCCTGCCGGCCGTTGTTCCTTGTCTTTGTTGTATACTAATAAAGCGTGCTATGCACTACGTCGTTGTTTGTCATTCGTCCATGCGGCAACCCACTACACAATACCCATAAACAGCAATTTCTGTCTGCTTCTGTCACTGCCTCATGGGGTAAATTATCTGTGTGGATGGGGTGCTCTTAAGATTTCACGGGTGGGCAAATGATGCTCCTCCAGAATTATTTTGGTTTTGGAAAATGGCATGGGAGGGAAAGGCGTAAACACCCTCTCCCCGTCTGTCATGGTCCTCATCTGAATCACGCTCTGCCTGTCAGGGAACTGAGTTCCAAATGGGGAACTTGCAAGTGCATGTCTGACAATCCTCACGGCTGACTTGGACCCACCCCCAAACTGCCGTATCATGTTCTCAGGCCCGAAATGTGCTAAAGCTCTGCACTGGAAGTGGCAGACTGAAGGTGGGGTGGTCAAAGTTCAGAAGCATCTCATTTCTACTGAGGGAATATCTTTTTTGCTGGTGAAGGGACCAAGTGATGAATATGTCTCTTGTTAAAGTCCTTCTCATTTACCTAGTGTGGTTTCAAGCACTACTGAAACACAGGCCTCTTGGTCAGCGTCACACTCTTGAATTCCTGGTTTTGCACAGTCCTCTCCAAAACAGTGATGACAGCTCATCAGTGCCCCTGCAGAAATGAGAGAGAGGGTGGTGGTGGTTGCAAAATATCAGTGACACTTATGTAGGTGACAGAATAGTGGACAAACAGTACTAACGTTTCCAGTTAAGAGATTCCAGTGGTACAAATTTTCTCTCCTTTGTAGATTTTAAAAAAAAATTCTAGGGCAGAGTTTAAAAGTCTTCTTGGGCTGCTTCCAAACCAAGGTGAATCCCATGGCGGCCACATTGCCAATGGAAATGTGTGAGGAATTATCCTTGCAAGAACTTTCTAGAGGGAACAGGATAACCCGTTCTGTCTTGATTCTTAGCGGTGGTTTCCTTTTCACACCCGATATGCACTGAACCCTTGACACTGCTGTGTTTGTAGGTGACCCTCCTCAGGATTCTCTGCCCTCCCGCTTTCTTTGTTTTGAGGGGCATGGGTAATGTTCTATAGAGATGACACAATACCCTTCAAAAGCCTTTGCAGAAGAGCTTCTGGATGATCCCCTCTCCCATGTCTAAATGGCAGGCTGAGGTGTGGACAATGTTCTTCTGTTTAAAAAGAAAACCTCCACGGGCATGGGTAACACTGCATAGGAATAATGCAATACCTTTGGAAAAATCTGTGCTTGAAAAAAATGTCCACGTGTGCAAAGTTAACCCTGCATTATTTAAAAGGCAGGGTAATGTATGACATTCTCTTCTGTTATGTCGATGGGAATGTGCGTGGAATTGCCCTTGCAAGAAGTATCCAGAGGGCAGAGGAAAACCAGTTTTCTTACGATTCTTAGCGGTGGTTTCCCTTTCACACCTGATATGCATTGAACCCTTGACACTGATATGTTCTCAAGCGACCCTCCTCAGGATTTTCTGCCTTCCCACTTTTTGTTTAGATTTTGTTCTGATGAGCATGGGTAAGGTTCTATAGAGACAACACAATACCCTTTTTAAAACCTTTTAAAAAACCCTCCACCACTTTGCAGAGGTACTTCCGGATGATCCCCTCTCCCGTGTCCAAACACCAGGATGAGGTGCGGACGATGTTCTTCTGTTTAAAAAGAAAATCTCCACGGGCATGGGTAACACTGCATAAGAATAAAGCAATACCTTTGGAAAATCTGTGCTTTAAAAAATGTCCACATGTGTGCAAAGTTGACCCTAGATGATTTAAAAGGCAGGGTAATGTGTGGCTGATGCTCTTCTGTTGTGCTAGCTCCTGCAGTTGCTGCTAGGGACTGGCCCTTCATGGTCATCTGTTCAAGAAGGAAAGCTGGGAATATAGAGAACCTGCTAACCCTATCATTACATTGGTATATTGATATTACAATATTTTACTGCCAATTACTATATTTAAAAATGCAAAAGACCTGGTGGGGCTTGGAAGGAACATAACCCTTCAGGTATAGTTCATAAACATATAAGGGGTGGAGGTGCTCCCTTTGAGGCTTCCTCATGCAAAGACAGGCGGGCCTGGGGGCAACTGGTGTCAACCCACCCCTTGAATACTACTCTCCGCCACCATCAGTCTTATGACTGTCAGTGGAGCCCTTTCGCTTCATCCCTACATGCATGTTTGTTTTTGATCTTTTTTTTAAAATCAAGTCATTGTGTGAATATATCTATATAAACATGCAAAAAATAAAAAAAAGATACTATAACTCCACCACTGATGTCACCCATGACAATAGCACTCTCCCTTGGAAATCTTGATTATTTAAGGCACTTGCGGAAGAAAAAAAAACGGACTCTACAACTGTGAAAATGCAGGACGGCAGACGTGCCGAAGAACTATGCTCAAACTGCTTTCAAAGCTTGTGGACCAAATGGTAAGAAAATCAGGAATAAGTTGATTGTGCGGAAATGCCCCCTCTAATCTGCTGAAGTCAGCTTTGATTCAAAAAAAGCTTATATCTTGGAAGATATTGTTGATCTTTAAGGTGGGAATCGACTCAAACTTTGTTTTGCTACCACAGACTCAACAAAGCGACCCTCCTCACAGTACCCAGTTCCATATAGACACTTCCAGAACATGCCTCTACTTTTCTTTTCCCTGTGTAAATGATGATTATATCAGTTACTGAGGAAAGCGAGGGAACTGTGCCACAATAAATTCTTTTAAAATGAATTTGCGGCATCTCCCCCACCCCCACAAACCCATACCTTGGTGGGGGGATGGTGTTAGCATTCTACCTTGCCTAAGGTGACAAAATACCTCGAACTGGTCCTGGCCTATTCCCTTCCCAGAGGCAATAAAAAGAGTGCAGGTTGTCTGTTTTTCCACTCACCTGGAGAAAGGAGGCCACCAAAGAGGCAGATGCTCAGGAGTGCCTTCATGGTAAAAGAAAAGAGAGGATGAGCCAGGGAGGACTCAGATCAGAGTGGAATCCACCAAGGCAGCTGATGTTGCACTTTGGGGCCGAACAGGTGGAATTTATATGGCAAAGGTAGGAGCACCAGGGCAGCACTGGGAAACTGGCTCAGTGGGGTACGGGAAATGTCTGGGAAGAGCCTGTAATCAAGATCATATATTTTGCTGCTCTGGGAAACTATTACTATTACTATTATTATTATTAGGACCACATGTATAATTGGAAGAGGGCATCCAAAATGTAGATAGACTTGTTGATGCATGTCACAACCGAAAAACAAAAGCCAGGTAGTAGGTTTTATTTGCAGTGCAATCCTAAGGGAAGTCAGTGGGCTTAGAAGGATATAACTCTGCCTCAAACTGCACTGATGGGATCTGACAGAATGTTAGTGAGAAGGAGAGGTAAAAACATCAACGAAGAGAGTAGAAGGCAGTAGTGAAGAGAGATGAGAGTGAATCTGGCTGACGGAAGCTGTGGAGAAGAACAGCTTAAATCTTGGTCTCTCTTGGGATTCATGGCAGTGGCTTTTCTTGGTTTACCTCATTTCTCCAGTCAGAGGTGGACGCAATCAGAGGCTATTCTTTAGGGAAGTGTTCTGTGTTTGGTTCGTGGGGTGCCCCAGGGATCAGTCCCATCCCCGACATGACATTGTTTAACATCTGTATGTGCCCTCTAGTGGAGCTCATCAGGAGGTTTGGAGTTGGTTGCCACCAATACGTTGATGATACTTAGCTCTTCCTTCTGTTGGATAAACAACCAGGAGTGGTTCTCTCTTCTCTGACCTAGACACTGTGGGTAGATGGTTGAGGCAGAGCTGGTTGAAACTTAATCCATCGAAGACAGAAGTCATGTGGCTTGGTAAGACTGGACATGTGGGGGAATTGCAACTTCTAGCTCTGGAGGGAGTTCAGCTGTCATTAGTAGCCTCTGTGAAGAGTTTAGGGGTCTGGCTGGATGCCTGTCTTATGTTGGAGTAGCAGGTGTCTACAGTTGTGAGGCAGTCTCTTTTCTATCTGTGTGACAAGAAAGCAAGAAACTGTGACAAATCAATGCTAAATACAAATAAAAATTTGTAAAACGAAGTATTCTGTATTATTTTCTCAAAGACTTATCATAAGTGTATTTTTCAATACACAATTACAGGATGGCATTTGTCATATTACATCTCAATATACCATCCAAGTACCATCACTGTACATTACAGAAATATGAAATTCGCTGAGAAGAGTCTGGGATTCTGGCTGGATGCCTCTCTTACCTTGGACAAGCAGGTGTCTGCATTTGCAAGGCAGTCTCTTTTGTATTGGTGTCAGGCCTGTCAGCTGGCCCACTATCTGTTCAGGCCAGACCTTGCCATAGTGATTCAACCCACAATCACCTCTAGAACAGACTATTGCAATTTGCTATATGCAGGGGTCATTTCGTAGAAAAAGAGCTAGGGGAACTCATTATCATAACTCATTAGCATATGCCACACCCCCTGACATCATAAGGCCCGGCGGTGGACCTGCAAGGCCGGCGGGAGTGTGAGGAAGCCCCACCAAGGCCCTCCCTGGCCCCAGGCAGGCAGGGGTGGGGAGAGGCGGGGAGGAAGCAACTTACCCTCCCTCTTCTTCTGCCTCCTCCTGGCTGAATGAGGGCCGGAAGCAGGGCGGCCGGAAGCAGGGGATGTGGCTTTGTCATGTGCCCCACCCCCTTGCACCTCACCCGGGGGCACTGCGATCCCCCGCGATCCCTCCCGAAATGACCTCTGGCTATATGCAGGGTTGTCCTTGAAGGTGCTTCAAAGACTTCAGTTCTTCCAAAATGTAGCTTCCAGGCTTCTGACCGGAACATCTTGGTCTTCACATACACAGCCTGTCTTAAAGCAGCAGCATTGGCTGCTTATTGGTTTCTAGGTCAAATTCAAAGTGCTGGTTTTGACATTTAAAGTTCAAAATGGTCTGAGGCCATCATAACTGAGGGACCGCCGCTCCCTTTATGAGTTCTCTCGGTGGCTGTGGTCTAGGGCTGCCAAGTCCCCCGGGGGGGCGGGGAAACGGGAGGCCCGTTCCCCGTCGCCGCCAGATCGGGCCCTGGGCGGAAGCCCACCCACAAAGCACGTCACACAAAAGTGACGTAAGCACATTCGGGACGTTGGGGCGAGGCCACAATCATCTGAGGGAAAACTTTATGGTTTCCCCTCGGATGATTTTGGCCCCGCCCCCAACGTCCCGGACGTGCTTACGGTGAGGTGAGTACTTGGCAACCGTACTGTGGTCAGCATTTCTCAGCCTACTGGTGGCACTGGGCCCTCAGGTCACAAGTTTGGCATCCAGCAAGGCAAGAGCTTGCTGGGGGGTTAATGCTGGATCCACCACTGTCAGTTGTGAAGTGTTTTTTATACTTAGTATTTTTACTCTGTATCTATGTTTATTATGCCTGAATTATACTGTTGTGAAATACTCTGAGTCCCACTTTCTGGGGAAGGGGTGGTATACAAATTGAAAAAAAAAGAAATGAAGTCTGTAAGGAAGGATTACAAATGCTGGAATGGGGAAACAGGGCAGAAGTTCAACTGAAAAGAAACTTTGAACACAATCCTAAGTGGGAGTGCCATGATCCTAGGCCGATAGTAGTGCAGCCTACAGTCTCTAGGGAGGCCTAGTGGCTCTAGGGAAGCCTGTATTAGAGTGACTATACGGTCTACATTTCCCAGCTCACCCTTTGGACCCTGTGATTGGCTAACTGGGGATCTGGAGGGAAAACTTACTCCAGTGGAATAGTAGAGGCTGTTGTCTGGGAAGAAGGAATAAAAGACCTTGCCCAAAGTGGGAGGCGGTTCACTCCCAGGAAACAGACCTAGTGTGAAGCTGCTGCAGAAGGAGGGATCCCTCATCCAAAAGGGGTGAGTCAGTTTGAGGCCAAATACCTGGAGAAGGCTAGGACAGTATAGTCAGACACGTAAACATTTATTATTTTGATGGTTTACCTACCTTTACTGTGCTCATTTTTCCTACATGTTATTCAATTACAGTTGTTGTTAAATCTTTTTAATAAAAATAGCTTGTTACTCTACCTGGGTCCTCACATCTCATTCGGTCACTTATAAGGTGAAACCTACTTGAAAAGGAGTGTATAAAGGTGTCGGGTGGGTGCTCTGGGCCCTCCTGAGGAGACCCATACCAAAGTGGTGGCAGCCCTTAGAGAGTTTTCCAGCCACTGCCCACGACAGGGGGTGAATGGCCTCAGAGAACTGACAGATCCCTGCACTGGTGTATCTTGGAGATATCCTACTGTAAGGGCCAGCTACGCTGGCGCAGAACTCCACTGCCACTGCATCAGTCTCTTGCACCAGCGCAGCTCCACCGTGGCTGCACACTGACACAACTCTGGCATAGTCCCCTGTGCTGGAATCTAAGTGAGTGACTGTAGGGGGCATGGCTACATTTAGTCAGCTCCCTAAGTGCTTTCAGAGCAGGAACACCATCCAAAGTAGCCCTGCTCCCAGCAGCCTTCAGTCAGGCCACGAGGAGCAAGAAGCAGCCAGGTAAGTTGCAGAGCCCCCCCCGGCCCGCCTTCAGGTAGAAGCTCTCTCTCCTCTGTGAGGGCAGAGCTGTGCGTTCTCTCCCCCCCTAGCTAGCAATCCAAAACAGTCCAGTGGCACCTTTAAGACAAAGTTTTATTCAGGTACAAGCGGATGGACTACCCTATATGGGAGCACTGCTTTGCTTCCTCCACCTGTGCTCTTCTTATATATTTTCAAACAAAAAGGAAAGACTATAGAAAACATCCTACAGAGTGTTCTGTGCTCTCTCTGTTAAAGGCAACCAACTCTGGAAAGCGCTATTCCTAGAATCTATCACTGCTTAGAGAATTTGGGAGTGCACAATAGCTAGCAATCCAAAACAGTCCAGTGGAGCCTGAGTGGAGGGGGGGTTGCCTACTGACACACTTCTGGTGATGCCAGGGGGTGTGGCATATGCAAATAAGTTATGTTAATAAGTTATGCTCATGAGCTCCTGCACCTCTTTTTCTACAAAATGACCCCAGGCCCATAGGCAACCATTTTAGGTGAAATTCAAGTGCCCCCCACTGCTGTGGCCACAACAATGCCTCCCCATGCAGTGCAGGATAACGCCTAAAGGTGTGACCAATCACCATCCACCCCTCCATACAAATGCTTTTAGCAGAATGACTCACGGCTCACAAGGAAGGGCACGCAGCATGTGATGAGGTCTGATAGTCCACTGCTGTGTGGAATTACAGTGAGTGCCAAGGCACCTCGGTTGTCATAAAAACACATAGAGGGCACTTAACACCACCGAGTGAGCACTCAGCTCCAAAACCCAACAGGGAGAACACACAACGAACACTCTGTGGGCTGACCTCTCCCAGTTCTCAACCCTAACAGGCAGGGGTCATTTCGTAGGAAAAGAGGTGCAGGAGCTCATTAGCATAACTTATTAGCATAACTTATTTGCATATGCCACACCCGCTGACATCACCGGAAGTGTGTCAGAAGGCAGCACCCACCACTCAGGCTCCACTGGACTGTTCTGGATTGCTAGCTATTGGGGGGGGGGAACGTGCAGATCTGTCCTCGCAGAGGAGGGAGAGCTTGTACCTGAACAAAACTTGGTCTTAAAGGTGCCACTGGACTGTTTTGGACTGGGGGGGGCAGGGGGGCTCTGCAGCTTACCTGGCTGCTTCTTGCTCTAACTGAGGGCTGCTGGGAGCGGGGGGTGGGGCTTATTGCATGTGCCCGCCCCCTGGGCTATTTACTGCCGAAGCTCTGCTCCTGCAGGAAATGACCCCTGCTAACAGGTACCCCATCTCCTGAGCTGGGGCCCAAATAGGTGGCCGTGCACTGATAGCTAAGAACACTTCCTCCAACCCCCTTTCTCCTTGCCCCCCATCAGGAGCTGGAAGCTGCCCTGTCAAGTTGATTTCGATGCTTATAGAGGTACCACCTGACAACTTTATGGAGTGAGGGAACCTAAGGGATATAACGAAAGGAATTGT